GCATTCCTGCCCCCTAAGCTTTCTCTCTGTACAAATGCTGCCCTTCTGATCTCCCATGGTTTATCACTGCAAGGAGTGTATCTTCCTGGGGAATTGTTCACTTCATGTTGTTATTGTTAGGTGCCATCCACTCTGACTCCTAGTGACCCCGTGGACAACAGAATGAAACACAGCCCAGTCCTGTGCCATCCCCACAATACTTGTTATGCTTGAGCCCATCATTGTAGCCACTGTGTCGATCCAGCTTATTGAGGGCCTTCCTCTTTTTCTCTGATGGAGAAACCGAGCATGGTATCCTTCTCCAGGGAACGGTCCCTTCTGACCACATGGCCAAAGTAGGTGAGATAGTCTGGCCATTCTCATTCTTAAGGAACATTCCAATTGCACTTTTCCTAGGACAGATTTGTTCATTCTTCTGGCAGTCCATGGTACTTTCAGTATTCTTCACCAACACCACAATTCAAAGGCATAAATTCTTTGGTCTTCCTTATTCATTGTCCAACTTTCACATGCATGTGAGACAGTTGAAAATACCATAGCTTGGGTTAGGCACACCTTAGTCTTCAAAGTAATATCTTTACTCTTCAACACTTAAAGATGTCCCTCACAGAGGATTTTCCCAGTGCTATATGACATCTGATTTCTTGACTGCTGCTTCCGTGGGTGTTGATTGTGGATCCAAGTAAAATGAAATCTTTGACAACTTCAATCTTTTCACCTCCTAGGCCTGTCTAATGTTTGGCTGGAAGTTAAGCCACAGGAGTGAGTTCAATTCCAGGCCCAAAGGGTGACTAGGGGCCATAGTCCCTGGAGTTTCACCAGTCTCTGTTAGACCAGTAAACTTGATATATTTTATGATTTTGAGTTTTGTTCCACATTTTTCTCCCACTGTATCCAGGATCTCCTGTACTGATCCCTTTCGAATAGTTGACAGTGGTAGCTGGGCACCATTTAGTTCTGGTCTCATGGTCATATAGGCTGAGGTTCACATGGTCCATTAGTCCCTAGGACTAATTGTTTCCATACATCTTTGGTTTTCTTCATTCTTTGCTCTGGATGAAGAGAGACCAATAATTGTATCTTAGATGGCTGCTTGCAAGCTTTTTTTTTTTTTTTTTA